AAATGAGAAGGTGCTAAAATAGGTTTATGAAGGAATAGGGGTCATTTTGTTTCATCTTCCTGCTTCGTGAGATCCCTCCCTGCTTTTTCAAATGACATTTACCTCAGTGGTAAGGGTGATTGGCTTGTTTATGACACCTCTGCTTGCCTTGCGATCACGTATGCTTTGGGCCTGAGAGTTCCTCTGATTCATGCTAGAGCAGAATATAAGTCCCTGAAACAAAAGTAAGGCTCTTCTTCTTTTTAGGCTCTTTTATTCCATATAACCAAAAAACAGCCTGCATGTTCTTTAAAATCCAATATGCCTTAATTTTTTATCTTTTGGGTGGATAATTCACTGTGCCTTTTATCTACCTTCTTTACCGCAAGACGAATTCAAGCAAGGTCTTCATCTGTTTCTCTCATGGAAAAGTATGGATATCCAGGCAACATTGCAGGGGTGCCAAAGGGAGGGGGGTCGAAAAAAGTCTAGATGATGGCCACAGCCATGCAATCAAAGCCTTACCTTTTAACTCATCATGACCTATGTAATGACCCCCTAAAGGGTCAGGGCTTTATTCACATGGTTGAGGCTGCCATCTTGACCTTTTTGACTCACTCTGCAGACACCTGCAACATTGCCTTCCATTTCAAACACTACTGTATTTTTCCAGTACTTTACATTTCTTTCCTCAGAAAATCCATTAAGGATAAAAAGACTGAATGGCTGCATAATGTCTATTAGTTGGTAGCCCTTTCTGACTAGAAACATCTCACGAGAGAATTAGCAGGTCCTTCTGTCATTTAGGTAGTACAGATAAAAGAATATCATACAAAGATCTGGTTGCTGGGATGGAGAAAAGAAAGGAGAAACTATTATTTTATTAGCAACCTGGTAGAAAAGAATATAGAGAGCCAATTTGGTGTGGTGGTTAAGGAATCAGGCTAGAATCCAGGAAGACGTGAGTTCTGGTCCCTCCTAGGCACAAAGCCAGCTGGGTGACCTTGGGCCAGTCACTTTCTCTCAGCCCTAGGAAGGAGGCTAACTTCTCAGGGTCTTGGGGGAATATTTCCTCAAATGAAAAGGTGCTGAAATAAATGTATGAGGGAATAGGGGTAATTTTGCTATAAATGTTATATACTAGGGTACAAAGTTCTTTTTATATCTGACACATGTAAAATGGTGAGCATAACCTCCTAAAATACTCTCAAAAAAAGTGAGTTTCCAGATATATATCAGAGCACAAAATACAATGTTAGAAACAGTCCTTGGTATTTCTAAAAAATTATTTATTTGATAGCAAAACTAGTTGTGCACATAACAAATGTTTTATTTATATCAAACTTTTAAAACATTAGTTTTATATATTGCACTTTTTTGTTGTTTTCAGCAAATAAAGTGCACAAGAACAATTGCACATATGGTAGGTTCTTGAAAACGCATGGAAATGATTATCAGAATTAAAGTTTGAAGCCTCCAAACAAATTTCAGTTCTACAGAATTCCGATGCTGTCCTGATGGAAGGCAAGAGCAACTTCAGAGGAATTCATAACACAAACCTTCATTTAGTGAAGATGATACATTCCAAAGATGATACTTCATTACAAATATGCAGTTCATAAACTTTATATTCAAAAACCACAATCCAACAATGAAATGTACTAAACTTCATTCTGAATTGAAGCCATCATATTTACAGGAGTCTTTCTAATATTCTAGTATTATATTCTATTCTAAGATTTCTAAGATTTTTGCAGGTTTTTGACCTTCCAATTTCACAGAAGAATCAAATCCTGTACCTCTCCTGTCACCACAGATGTATCAAGGCCATCAGGAGCTCCCCCCCAAAAAGCAGGGAGAAAAATCTTAAGTTATACAACATACACGAGTAAAGAATTTAGTTGGAATTTAATTTAGTAGCCATATCCAAATGTCCACAGACTTAATTGCTGAAGGATATCAGGCTGTTGCCAATAAATAAATAAATAACCCTTGTCACAAGTCTCCCCTAGATAGAAGGGCAGTTGCAGATCTAATCAGCACAAAAAAGCCATGGAAAAGTGCCATATAAGATAACTGTGTAGAGCAATAATTTTATAGGAAAACATATGATAAGTCCCAAGTGCTACTTATACTGGGAAAACAGCATACATCAGTGTTGTCCAAACTTGGCCACTTTAAGATGAGTGGACTTCAACTCCCAGAATTCCCCA